TAATTAAAACATGTGAAATTATTATACACCAATAAGAAGCTGCTGTTTTCACTCAGCATTCTTGATGTTTCTACTTTAGGAAAATGTGATGTGGACAAAATGTATGAAATCAAGAAACATCCCCAGGATGTTTTCTCTTTTTTTTTTTTTTATTCTTATCCAGACCTGGAAAATAATCAAACCTTTAAAGACTGAGGAGGAACGCTGCCTCAGGGCTGTTCTCATAAGGCTGACCTGTTCTCCAGCAGGATCTTAGTGATCAGGTTCTTCAGGCTGGAGTGGAACGACTCTGGAAAGACTGCGAGGATCTGCTCCGGGGACGTCAGGTTGTAGAAGAGGATGTGGTGAGACAGCGTGTGGAGGGACTGGTTTAGCTACAATCAACAGCACAGGTTTGGGTCAGAATGCATACAGCAGAACTGAGGACAGTAGAAGATCTGAGAAGAAGTTCATTTAATTATTAACAAAAATGCACCTTGGATGCAGATATTTTTTTATCTGCATAGAGTTATAATCCTCTACTGGTAGTGTAAAGTTTAGCTCTTAATAAGGGGTGAATCTTTCTAAGTCAGAGCTCAGACATGATCCGATTTTGTGTTTGCATTGACCATCCTGCGTCATAACTGATGAATTGCATATTATAGCACAGGTGTATCTTTCTGAAGGACTGGCGTGGACATGTCCCCACCAACTTTGGCATGGAGGGGACAGTCCTCACCAATAATTTCTGCTTTTTTCCCCTTTCCGCTCATTTACTTTAGCCAAAGGGAACAGAGGTTGGGTGCAGCTATCAGTGTTCAGAGCCTTTTGAGTCTGTTTTTTTTTCCCTCTCTCTCTAGCGCCCCCGTGTCCCGCCTCTCTGTCTAACACCATCGGATCTGTTGCTTTGAGCCATCTGATTGGCTGTCGCGTTTCACTGCATACAGAGGAGCTACATGGTTGGAGGACAGACACACAGCAGCACGCCGTGAATATTAACCAGCAGCTACCACTGAAGAATCTGTTTGTTTGACATATGACATTTTTTCAGCTAAAAATGGCAACAAATTGTAAGTTTATGCAAGTTAGTATTATAATGCAAGAAGCTTGAGAAAACGTAGTTTGTTCTTCTTTACTGGCTTCTCAGAGGACCATGACTCCCAGTTACAAGTTAAAATGAACACGTTTTCGTATTGTACAGACAGAATCAAACCGCAGAGCTTCTACATATCTTGAAATGTTGTTTTTTGACATCATTATACTAATAAAGAGGTTCATAAATCTTTTTAAACAGAGAGAAGTAGGGAGAGCTGCAGATTTAAAGGGGAAACAGATTTACTGGGATATGCAACACGCAATAAAATACATCTCAAAGAAAAAATCTGCTATGCTATATTTAAAATGCAGCATATCAATTTTTTTTTTTGGGATGGATGGATGGATAGAACTGAAACTTACGTACTCAGAATCGGCTGCTATTCGTTATTTTTTTTATCCATTAATGTTTTTGGGCACTATATGTATATAAAATGCACTAAAAGGCATCTCTCTAACTGTCTATAAATATAAATATCAGTATATTTTGGTTCTCAACAATAGGAAAGCATTCGATAAATATGTGTTTAAGCTCATTTTTGGAAAATACAAAAACCTATGAAAGTGTTCAGGTGGAATAACTGTAGGTCCATCAGCCCCCACTCTTAGAGGGCCCCCACCAGTTTTCATCATTAAGTTACAGCCTTGACTCACAGCAGGTCTGAGCTGCCAGTGTTTGTGTTATTTACCTGAGCAGCCTGTCCTGCAGGGATGCTGAATGTAGCTGCTGTATTCTCTGTCAGCATCCTGCTCACACCTCTGTGGCTCTGAACGCAAACATCTCTCACTGCATCTTTAGATGGAGCCTGAAACAAAAAATACAGACAAGACATAAAAATGAAAAACAAGGAGGACAGAGCTGCTGCCTCAGATTCAAACAGGCGGATAACACCATAAAATGTTAAAACCACAATAAATAAACTTAAATAAAATGGAATATTTTAAAGATACAGTTGATATCAATGTGTTAAACTTTCCTTCCTAATTATCTTTAATCATCTGATCGCAAAGAGCAGATTAAAACACGTAAATAGCCGATAAATCTATTTAATTATATTGATAAATATTTATTTAACAACAAATAAACGATTATGACTTATTTTTCATTGAGTATGATTTAAAAACATGAGAAACTCGCGTTTATATACCTTTAAAAGAAGCTGCAAGTTTGTGAAATCTTCGCTGCTTAAGTCAGCAGCCATGTTGATTTGGGACGTTGGTGAAGAGTCATGTGACGCAGAGGTTTCGCTATGACTTATGGGAACTGAAGTTCCAAGCTAGATGTTAGTCAACGAGGAAAACTTTAATAATGGAAATAAAACGAAAAAAAAATGTCAAATAATGAAAACTCAAACCAATTACTAAAAAGAAATACAATAAAAGTTAGCGGAAATTATAAATAGTCTAATTATATTTGACAAAATAAAATCAAAAAACATACAATAATATTTGCATGTTATAATTAGACAGATAGAAAGACCTGATTAAAAACATAAGAAACGAAACCTTAATCTTTGTTCTTTTAAAACAAGTGAAATAAATTCTCAAAATAAAAACGAAACTCGAAATTAAAACAAATTTGAAAGTTCAGTGAACATTTTTTATGTAATACTGAGGAAAAATAATTCCAGGTAAACAATAAAATTTCTTTCTAATGATAATTTATTCTAAGACATAAAAAAACTAGTAAATTAAAAACTTGGTAGAATGTATGGTGTAGAATAACATAAATGAGCAACATCAGTTAAAATCATATTATAAAAAAAAAAAACAAGACAATAAACCAGTATTAGACATATTATTATATTTCTAGAAGCAAACTGATTACCAGTTCATTAAACTTGATTATGAATAATATTTGTATTAAGGAGAGCCGAATTTTTTGCAGGCACATTTTTTGCAGGCGATTTTTTTGCAGCTAAATTTTTTTTGCAGGCGATTTTTTTGCAGATGAGTTCTATGCAGGCGATTTTTTTGCAGCAGCATTTTTTTTGCAGTTGATTTTTTGCAGGCAATTTTTTTGTTCTGCTGAATTTTTTGCAGACGCATTTTTTGCAGATGAGCTTTATGCAGGCACATTTTTTGCAGCAGATTTTTTTTGCAGCAGAATTTCTTGCAGCAGAATTTTTTGCAGGCAATATTTTTGTGCTGCTGATTTTTTTGCACACACATTTTTTGCAGCTGAAATTGAAAATGAATTTTCACCAAATCAAAATTCAGTGTTAGGAATTCAATGTGTAAAAAATCAGTTCCTAAAATTCGGTGTACAAAAAAAGGCAGATTTCAGTGACACTGTTTCACTTCCATACTTTTAGGCAGTAACCTGAAGATCTATGGACAGATTATAACAATTGAACCTGTCAGGTTCCTCCTCTGCAGACTTCTTGATGATTGGTGGTGTTACAGTGTTCTGCTTCCGGTCCTCATTTCCGGTCCTGTTCTGGTTGCAGAGGTGTGGGCAGGTTGCCGTGGAGACAGACACCCTGCGGGGCCAGAAAGCATCTCAGACGGGCTGTCGGCTCCCTGGAGCCCGGCCGGCCGGCCTGCAGCAGTCAACATGTCCGTCTCCGGAATGAAAAAGCAGCTCCACAAAGCCAGTCAGGTAAGAACCGAACCGAAGCAGGTTACCTGTGGCGGTGCTGCGGTATCTGGGCCGTCCGTCCAGCGAGGCTTCGCTGCGAAACCAGGCCTGCTGGAGATGTTCCACCTGATGATGGGTCCCGCAGCACCGATGCGTGGGTGCCTGCGTGGATCCCATAGAGCTAAACACTAGATCGGTAAGAAAGTCATGTGACCGATACAGGAGCTGTTTCTAACTCACTAAACTGTGTTTAAAAACGCTTCTGTCAATGGATTCATCTGCTAAAGAAAAAAAAAATCTCATCTTTTGCAGTTTATCATTAAAATTATCAAGAATTTTGGAGCCTAAAA